GGAAATGTATTGCACATTGTTGTCATGTCACATCAGTCATCTTCAATCTAGAATAGTCCTCAGCTTTCCCCTCTCTCATATACTTGACAGTCTTAAAGACTACAGGCTTTTTGTTATGAAAGATGTTCTCAATCTGGGTCAGTCTAATATTTCCTCATGATAGATCTCAGTTCTTGCATTCTTGGCCGTGTCATCATGTACTTTCCTTGCCCCAATTCTCAAATCATCCACTTCTTCAAGGATCCCTGATTATATATATATAATCTCCATTTCTTTACCCATCTGTGTGTGAATATGGTTTTGAACAACCCGTGAGTTCACAATGACAATTCCAATTTCAACCCAGCCCCTCAGGGTTCTTTCTAGCCTCCCTTTCTGTGTTGTTAAATTCCTTATCATATACTTAGCTACCTGGCTCCCATTCATCTAATCTTACTGTCGTCTTCTTTTAAATTAAGAATTTAACTTATTAGCCCTGGCTGGCGTAGCTCAGTGGATTGAGCGAGGGCTGTGAACCAAAGTGTTGCAGGTTCGATTCCCAGCCAGGGTACATACCTGGGTTGCAGGACATAACCCCCAGCAACCGCACATTGATGTTTCTCTCTCTCTCTCTATCTCCCTCCCTTCCCTCTCTAAAAATAAATAAATAAAATCTTTAAAAAAAATTTAACTTATTTATTTGTAATACAGATGTTTGGTCTTGCTTCTGTTATTTTTAAAACTAGTATACTTGCTATATGTATAGCTTTAAAAAAATTTCAGTATAGTTATTTTCTTTTTTGTTTTTAATTCTGATAATTTGGGAAGTTAGTTTTTTTCTATTGGCTATGTATCACTGCTACTTCATAAAATATACTTAGTCTACTTCTTTATAGATACCTGTTAATTTCTATGAGCAATAATAAAATTAGTGTATTTCTTCACTGCCTCTTGCCTAATTTTAGTTGACTGCACTCTTTTCCTTAATGTCCACCTTTGTACTTCATACTTAATGATAGATTGGCTGGCTACAGAATTCTTGGCTCACAGCGCTTTTCCTTGAGGACTTTGAAAGGATTGCTCCTCTGCTTTCCAGTGTGCAGGGAATAAGATTATTTCCACCTTGATGTGGAAAAGTGGAAGCCAGCCTGATTATTTTTTTGCCCTTATAAGTGACTTGATTTGGTGGGGAAGTATGGGAGGCTGAACGTAGAAAGGGTTCCTTAGACTGTGTCTTGATATGGACCATTCTGTACCAGTTTTTTCAGGATATGATCTCCTTTTCAATATGTAGATTCAAATGTTCTTTTCTGTAATATTTCTGTGAATTACATTTTTATATACTTGTTCTATTGCATTTGTAACACTATGATTTCTCTTTTAGGGACTTTAGTTATGAATATTTAGATCTCCTTTGTTTATCTTTGTCATCATTTTCTCTTTGGTCTCTCTTTTCATTTAACTTATTTGCATCTTTATTTTACTTGCTTTTATAATTTGTCTCTCTTTTCCTTACAGTATTTTCAACAATGTCTGTTCTCCTTGTATACCTTCAGATTTCACCTTGTTTCTGTAATATTAACTTTCCACTTCTTTCCTAAGTTCTGCCAATTAATATTCCATCTCTTGTCTGTTGTCTTGTAAACCTCTTCCATGTGCTAATATCTGTACTTTATGTTCTTTCTTCAAAGAGGCAATTGCACCATTTAAAAAATATTTGGTTGTGGTTTTCATCTGCTTTGTGGCATTCTTTTTGTTTGTTTTATATCTGTGTCAACTATTTGGTAATTGTTTAAAGATGAGGTTTCTATTACTCCATCTGCCATTTGTTTTTTTCTTGTATTTTTTTTATTCTCTTGTATTAAACTTCTGCCAAATTTATTTTGATTACTCTGCTTTAAATACAGTGACTTTTTCCTGGACCAGCAACTTGTTTGAAGTTCATATTCTAGGGGAACCAGGACTGTGGTTCTTATGACCCAGACAGTCTTACGTGTGAGTTTGTTTAACCTTTAACTTCTTTCTAGCCAGTGAAGATAGGCAGCTGTGGCATCTTTAAGTAAAATCTTTCATCTGTCTCTTAAATATAAAGTTTTGGATTGCTGCAGGGAGTAGTCTTATTCCCTTTGGCTTTCCTGTGTAAACTCTTTCCTTGTCTCCACTGCTTCATGGGACCAAATGTAATCCAGGGAAAGTCCCACTTGGAGCCCTGCAGAGTATTCAGGTGGAATATGCCCCTCATCTGTAAGCGTCTTTTGTGGGCTTCCTCTGTAAACTGTGTACTCGGGCAAACTCCGCCTCCTTCTATACCCACCTGGCCATCCGTAGTCTATTGCTACTGGCGACCTTTCACCTGTTTTGTGATTTTCAATCTCAACTCTTTCTTAATTTCATTGAATATCATGTTTCTATTTTAATTCTTTTGTTCTTTTTGCTGCTTTGGGATGATTCTCAGAAGAAAAGGAGGCAGTGCTGACATTAGCCTGCCATGTTCAAATAGGATGTTCCCACCATCCCATTTCTTTCTCTATATTCTGTCTCAGTTTTCTTATCTTCCATTTCTTATGTAGCCAGTCACTCTCTGAAATTTCTCATTTGAAGATCACACTTTGTGCAAGCCAAATGTTTAACCTCTGCAACATTTATTTAAGTACTGTGGTCATCCCCTTCATGTGAAACTTCCTTGTCTTTTCCCTCCGTGGAATTGCACTAAGTGGGTTCTTTTAGTCTCTCCCTGGTTCTTCTTCTTGGTTGTTGTTGTTGATTTGTTTTCCTCTATCCTTAACTTTGGGTTTCTCTTAACTTCACCTCTTTCAAAGTTTTTTTTTTTAATATGAAAAGTAAAACAACAAAGCTTTCATGGAATATATCACTAGAGAGTATCTTCATAACATTAGGGATGGGAAAGAATTCTTAACAAGATATAAAAATCACTAGCCATAAAGGGTATGCTTGAATAATTTGAATACATTACAATTCAGAAATTCTTTGCATCAGAATGAAGATACCATGAAGAGCATGAACAGGTTAGGCACAGATTCAGGAAGATTTTTGTAAGTCTGAAGGGCTCTAATATGACATTTATAAAGAACTATAATTCTGTTACTTGTATATAACAATTTATTTATTTCTTCTAATATTGAAGACCCATGGTTTGACTGTTACAGAGAGTGCTGCTAGGAACACTTACACACACACACACACACACTTGCGCCTGCATTTGGAAAGGTCCTACAGGAGGGAGTTCTAGGAATAGAATTCCTACGTCATAGAGTATTGATGTTTTCAGCTTTAGTAGATAATGCTAAACTGTTTGCCAAAGAAAGTGAATAAATTATAGCTACATGTTTCAACTTGGATAAATTTCACAAACAATATTCAACAAAAGAAGCAAGACCAACAACAATATTATATAACATGATTCCATTTATATTAAATCCATTAACAGGCAAAAATTAAACATATTGTTTAGGGATGGACATATAGCTGGTCAGTTAAAAAGAGCAAGGAGGTGGCTGTATAACAGCCACGGCTGTGAGGACCCCAGGGGAGAGGCAAGCTTGTGATGGGGCGGCTACAGAAAGACACCCCTCCAGGTATGGGTGATATTCTGGGTCTTGATTTGTTTTGGTTACACTGGAGTCCATTTTGTAATTGTTAAAATGTGCATTTACGTTTTATGCATTTTTCTATATATCTTACTGCATAATGCAAAGGGCTTTAAAAATAAAACCTGAGAATTAATTTGAAGAAATACAATTTAAGATACACTTAGGCAATTTTATTTTTCCTCTGTCAGTTTAAATACAGCAGAGGGAAGATTAAAAGGCACGAAATCACTTGGAAAGCTCTTCATTGAACCTCAGCTCATATCTGTGCCTTCTTACCAGCTTTGTCACCATGGTGCTCAAATAACAGTAGTAAAGATGTCATTTTAGCAAAAATACAGGTTTTCAGAGTAATTCTCATTTTTTCTTTTCTGTGTTCTCAGCCATGGTTTAAAAATTCTTTTTGATTTGTCATATAACACTGCTGTGGAAGAAAATCCAAAGTACTTTCCTCAGTTACATTTCCAGAGTGCTGTCACCATTAAGGACAGAGATGTGTCAATATAACAAGAATGTACACCTTGGTTAGACTATTTTTTATCATTACCAGAAAAAATGCTTTGGAGATTTCCCCTGGATTCTGACATGTTTATGGGGAAAATAAATATGAAACTACTTAACAGCTTTGCATTTCTCTAGACTCTGGTGCAATAAGGGTAATGTAATAGTAATGTCACTGGAAGAAATGAAAATATTACAATTTAAATAACATTAAAATTCTGAGCATAGTCTTATAGCCATAATAAATCTGCAGATATATAAATATGTATATATATGCATATATATATAGTTATTGTTTTTTAACTCCAGAAATGGATCTAAATATACTCCATTTGGCATTCTTAAAGACATCTCTTGGCATTCTGTGTCTCATACAAAACCCCCCAGAAGGAACAGTGGGGCCACTTATAAGTGAATGTGAATGTTGGGGTCATCAGTAACATTTGGGTCTCTTCACAGTCCCTTCCAGTGGTGCTTTTGACTCTGGTCAGGCTACTGAAGAAACCCAGGGTAGAGCTATGGTTTTTATGGAGACAACCGATTCCTTCATGCACAGTACAGCTTCCTCAGTTCTTTTGTCCAAAATGTGGCCCATTTTCAGTGCTATCAGTCTGGGTTTCTAAAGCCATTTAACATTCCTATAATTCAGATACAGCAGGTAGCTAATTTTGCAATAGTAAGGTGATTTTTTTTCTCTCTAGTTCCTTCAATATTGATGAAGGAATGAAAAGAAAGTATAATCCCACCATTGCTAACTGATTTTTTTCATATGTGCGCATTTGGATTAGAGATAGATGAGAGTAACTATTTTTAGACTTATTGGAATTCCTCATTAATGTTTTTTATCTTTTACTTTTAACTATATAATTCTGGTGTGTGTGTGTGTGTGTGTGTGTGTGTGTTTTAATGCAGGTACAGCCTGACTATTTGGACTGGAAAAAATGATAACTATTCCATTGAAGATTTGCTTTGTATAAGAGACCATTTTGATAAAAAACGAGTTTTCTATGATATCTTGGAACCACAAAATAATGAATTTAAACAAGCCATTGGAATCAATGTCTAAGAAGAAGATTCTTCTAAATTATTCATGGTTTGGTTTCATAATCCTTCTCTGCTTTGGTCTGAATTAATTACCAATAAATTATGATGATTGAGTTATGCTCCAATTCATCCAGTCAAGAAACACTTATTGAGTACTTACTATGATTTAGGTACATGCCCTTTTAATACTGTACTTAACTAAAAGATTGGGAAGAAGAGATTTCAGTGGGCCTAGTCTAATAGTAATTTAGGAAAATGATATTTTAAAACCCTTTATAAAAATAATTTTAATATACTGAAGATAACTGAAAGAATCCTTGTGCCGTAATATAGGTATGAGTCACATTTTGTTGGCATTTACATTCCAGAGATTCCAAAAATCTGTGGCACCCTCTTCCCATTTTCCTGGAGAACCAGCCTTTCAAAGACTACAAAAGAGTAAGAAGGCTTCAAAAATGTTTTTAACTATCACAGGGTTGAACAGCTTTTTCATAGCAAAATCAAATCTACTTACTGAAAACAATGTAAATTAAATGATATGGATCTAGAATTTCCATATTGTTGGGAGCATGCTGAGTGCTATGTATGTCTTTGTTTTCTTTGTTTCAGTCATTTTATTTTTTCGATAGTGAGAAGCATAGTTAGCAAAATACCACTGAAGAGCAGAATTTTAACCATGTAATATATCATAGGATTTTCAAGTTTCTCACCAATACCACCTTAGTTCAGGCCTGTGTTCTGCTCCTAGAATTTCAAAAACTGGCTCTTCATGACCTCATCCTTCACACTCAGAGATACCCTGAACATTTCTGCTGAAATAAAAATTTTAAAACACCTCTTTGTTTATGCCAAACCAAAAAACTCCAGAGGCTTCTTAAATTCAACTGTATGGACTTTACTCTTTCAAGGCCCTCCCTAATGTACTCTCACTGTAAGAGTCACACAGTGTCCTCCAGCCCAGTCCTTCACTTCAGAAGTGCCTACATCACTGGTCTCTAGATCTTCCTTTAACAGCTAACTTTAACTATTTAGTGTTGTTCACTAATCGTGTTGTACAAGTTGTCTCCTCAATTAGATTATAAAGTCCTGAATGGTAAGGGAGCACTCTTACCTGTCCTTCACAGTGCCTGGCATAGGCCTCAGCAAGGTATTTGGAGAAACCTTGCTTCTAACAGAATTTGACTTTTTGTTTATCAACCATTTTCTACCAGGGAATAAAGTAGTTCTATTTAGAGAAAAGAGCTTGGGTTTTGAATTCAGACAGACTTCCCTTATAGACAGCTGCCCTCTATCCCTTACTAGCCATAGATTTGGGAAAATATTTAACCTCATTGAGTCTTGGTTTCCATATTGATGAAATGGGGGTAGAGGGAAGGAGACTTCTCTTATAGGTTGTTGTGAAGTTCGAGGGAGACTCATGTGATGGAGGCGTCTAGATCAGTGCTTACCACACAGCAAGGCTTGGATCCATTGCAGGTGGGCAGCAGCAGTAAGACATATAATACGAAACACTGTAGATATATAAACACTTAAAAGTCATGTTTCCACTTTAAATTTTAGCTCCAACATTTAGTACTATTTGTAAAATAACACCTAAAACTTCACTTTCTATCATTTTTTGCCAAAAGCAAAGGGCACAATTTCATAATTATAAAATTTAACAACTGCAAGAGAGAATTGCTCTTAAAATGACAGTAAATATATTTAATTTATAATTTTTATTAAATGACCATGCTTTTATAAAGGGAGTTGAATTTATAAATGAACTGCATTTTGATAAAGATTGAAATAAAAGTCTTTTGTCCAGAGGATTTTTACTACTTGATTATTTTACCCTTGGTAATACTTTAAAAAATATTAGTCTTAAGTAAAATTCTTTTATATTGAGAAATATATCAATTGAGTGTCAGATTAAGATCTAAAGGTATGTTTTAAAGTGTTCTCAGGAACAAAAATATGTAAAAGAATTAGAAAACTACTCAGTTGAAAAGGATAATTTTAATGGCTATTCATGTGGAAAAATGTGATCCTGACTTCATACACAAATAATAATTCCAGTTGGATCCTGGGCCTAAATGTGAAAACTAAAACTACAAAGCATTTAGAAGAGAATAAGGGGGAATTTTTTCATTACTTTGGAGTAGGCAATGGTTTTTGTTTTAAATTTTATTTATTTATTTTTAGAGAGGGAAGGGAGGGAGAAAGAGAGAGAGAGAGAAACATCAGTGTGCGGTTGCTGGGGGCCGTGGCCTGCAACCCAGGCATGTGCCCTGACTGGGAATCGAACATGCGACACTTTGGTTCGCAGCCCGTGCTCAATCCACTGAGCTACGCCAGCCAGGGCTTAGGCAATGGTTTTTTATATCACAACAATAACCGTGAAAGAAAATGATTAATGCGCTTTATCAAAATCTAAAATTGCTCATCAAAAGACATCATTAACACATTCTGACAAAGGGCTCATACTCCAAATTTGCGAAGAACTCCTACTAATTGATTTTTAAAAAGAAGCTGCAAAATATGTATATTATACTACTTATGTAAAATTTTATGTCTTTATCAGCATTTATATATAGGAAATATTTGAGAAGTTTACAGGCACAAAGTAAGTAAAAGATTAAGTACCACCCATTTTCTCCCTTCAAGTTCTTGACTCTAATGTATTGATTTTGGGATCCCATAACATTTGAGCCTTATTTCTGAAGCCTGGCAGAGTAGTCCTATCCCCAAAGAGACTTTGGTTTGAGATCTAGTAGTTTAAAAAAAAAATCAGAGCTTTTAAAAGGACAGTAGTTTATGGTTCTGTAAGAGTGATATAATTGCTAATAACGAGATATATGCTCATCTATCCAGGGGAAATTGCTAAAAGTTATTTAGAACAGTTTATTTGCTTGTTTGTTGGAGCTAGGGTCTTCGATTTTTTTCCTTGTAATGAAAAAAATTAAGTACCTAATGAACATACAGAAAAACAATGCTCTTTCACCTTGAAATTTAAGATGTGAGCTTATCTTGGAGCATACCACGTGTTTACAATCTTACATTCATGAATCAATGCAAGGAAAATAGTTGAGTGTTAAGAACTTCTTTATCTAGAAAATGTTAGTATTATATAATGAATAAGTAAAACCAAGAAGAGCTGATAACCAGGTCTTGGAAGAAGCAGGGCAGGATCCAGGAGCTCTTGGGACCTCAGTAGCGGGAGCTTGGGCCTTTGCTGTAGTGTTCCACATCACTCTTTTACTCTTCACTGTGACTGCTTGTTTTCTTTGTATCCACCATCCTTTGGTGCAAAGACCATAATTTTGTTTAGTCATTGTGTCTTTTGTGACGGAGCACATGATTTTAGGACTCAATAGGAACTCTGTGGGGAAGGAGGGGGACAGGCCTCTATCTAACTGATGTTTTTGTGCTATAGCTGTGCCAATAATTTGGAAATGATTCCTGCCCCAAGGATCCACAGTCTAGTAGAGAAAGAGAGACCTGTAACAATAAGTTGGATATTTGCTATAACTCCTATGATAGAACTATACACCAGGCTTTGGTGTGGAGACAGCAGTCTGTTCTTGATAGAAACACCTAAGATGTGACTTGAATGATGAATATTCACCAGGTAGACTTAAGGAGGGAAGGGTCTTTCAGGCAGAGGCACAGAAGCAAAGGAACTCTACGTGGGAAAAAAACCTGATCTGACCTGTTAAAAAAATAAACAAAAAAAAGCCTGTAGCCTTGGACAGGTAGCTCAGTTGTCTGGAACATTGCATTGATAGATCAAGATTGCGGGTTCAATCCCTGGTCAGGGCACATACAAGAATCAACCAATGAATGCATAAATAAGTGGAACAACAAATCAATGTTTCTCTCTCTCCCCCTTCCTCTATCAATAAATAAAAATTTAAATAAATTTTTGGAGGCATCACACTGAGGCAGGACATTTAGGCCAGGGCCAGATTCATTTTCCATGTTAAGGAGTATGGTCCTTCTCTTAGGCCATGGGAGTCTTCACACCGTTTTGTTTTGTTTTTTTTTTTTAAGTGGGAAAGCGTGAGAAAGGTGGTTATCATGGCAAGAGAAGGCAACTTGGAATTATCGAAGTGCAAGGAGATGAAGCCCTGAGTTAAGGTGGTAGTAAAAGTGGATGGGAAGGCTGCAGAGATAGAGGGAAAGTTAAGAAGAAAGAACTTAAGAGTTTTTTTAACTACTTGGATGGAGAAGATGGGGGAGAGGGAAGAACCTAACATATGTATTTCTGGCTTGAGGAACAGGTCAGGTGGTGCCACTGACCCAAACAGCATAGGACAAAAGCCAGGTGTAGCTTCATTTCCCAGTGATGAGTTGATATTGCTAATTTATACCAACTTGGAAAGAAAAGGGAAAACCCCATCTGCCTGTCCCTGAACTCACTCACCTCCCATTCCAACTTTAGGAAGGATGTTCCTTTCATATTTAATTTTACATTTCTTAAAGGGCCCTCTCACATAATTGCTATTAATACTTTACTACATATTTTTAAATAATTTTAAATAATTAAATAATCCCCACAGTCCCACCAGCAGAGTAAACAGCCAGGTCTTGAAAGGTGCTCACCCAGCCTCCTGTCTGATGAGGAGGTTCTTTTGTTTCTATGCATCTGTGTGCTTGAGGGACCAGCCTGGCTAAATCTGGTGGCTGCGCTGTTCTGGGTTTGGTTGGTGCTGTTCATCCTCATCAAGACGGGTCATTGTCCCTTCTATATCCTTTCCTTGGGGTGAAAGAATGTAATAAGAGTTCAAAAAATGTAATTGAAACATTGGCTGTTGAAGCAGAGCCTGTTGCTACTTTGTGAATTAAGAGCTAAAAACAAAACAAAACAAAAAAACCTCTGGACCTGCGTACATATCTGATTCCTGTTGTAAACATCTGTGACTTAACATGGGGAGGCCAGTGATATATCCTACTTAACATAACCGGCTCAAGCCACCTCAGCCCCCAGTGTCCTTAGGATTAATAGATGACTGCAACCTCTCCTTCCAATAAAGTTTTAATCCTATTATATTTATTTTTTCATGTTAGGATGAGAATAGCAACAAAAGTTATTCTTAGTTTTCTGTTTGCTCCAAGTAACATATGTGGCACAAATTCTCTTGAGAGTATGTTGAAATATTTATCATTAGTATTTGAGATAAATAAAAGCCAGTGATAATCAAAATGGAAATTTTAAATCTTTATTGATACCATTTTATGAACTAATCTATTAACATATTCTTCCAACCTGTATCCTTACAACTTAAAGCCAAGCACTTTTCTCAATATTAGAGCTTGCAAAAAGGGTTTAATTACCTATAAACATCAGGTGCAATTCTAAGTTCTGAATCGAAAAATATTTTTAATATAATTAATATTCATGTTCTTCAAAACATTAAATGGAACACCTCCAGTTTTTTTCAAATAAAAGCCACAAGAAATTAAATAATTACTATCTACATTACAACTTGCTTATACCCAATTACTAAGAAAAGCATCATCCCAATTGCTAAGATCTCCGCTTACTGACAGAAGCAAAGAAGTTGTATATGATATCACATACACTCAGGTTTTGTACAGTTTGATTTATTCTTTATTGTAAACTGCTAGACTGAAATAAGGATTCTTTGCATGAACACTATATTTTGAAATTGTATAGCTAAGTAATTTTATAATATTTTATAATAGCAGCATAGTATTCTTTTATTTTGTTAAAAATTATTCACAGGTCCTAAAATACTACATGATTGGATTATCACACTAAGGAAATTATCCTTATATATCCTCATTATAGAAATGTCTAATAATTATGTATCAGAAATAAAAAGATATTGTTTAATATTGGCTGAATATTTGGTACATTTTGTAATTAAGTTTCTACTGGCTTTCTTAGTTTTAGCTAACCTAAGCTAATCTAATAATCAGTTTTTCTTTTCTAAAATGAAGCAGGCATTTAGTTTCTAGTTGTGAGTAAATCTCAAACTTTTGGTTGTCTTTAGAAAGACAAGGATAATTTGATGTAAGTAAAGAATGCTTTTTAACTTTAAAATGTCTTTCTATTGGGAACCTATGGATAGGCTTCAAAAAGAGTAACAGGAATTAAAGGATATGGAGAAAGAAGAACACCATAAGATAACATTTTTGTTTCAATGTTTAAAAAACAAAACAGAGCAAAAACAGCACACACTGGGCACAGAGCATCACTAGCGTGTATAACTCTAACTTGCCGTTGCACACAAATTAAGCTGACAACAGGAGTATTAGCTATTCCAGTCTACTATAATGGTTGACAATTGAAATTTTAATTATATTTTCATCTACCTGCAGTCAACATTTTAAAGAATTAGTTCATTCTTTCTTTGTAGCTTAAACTTGTAGATCATAGAACACTTTATAGCTGTTAGTGGTTTTTTTTAATGCTTTTGGCATGATGGAAAACTACAATCTTATTTACTGACTTGAAATGTTAAAAACAAGGGACTTGAAGATACTGTTTCCTACTAAAATATTTGGCAAATCTGAAAAAAGTTAGTCATCTCCAACACATGTGACCTTCTTTCTTTGTTGATTTTGTTTAAATTAAAAACTTGGACTTGGAGGTTTTGAGAAAAACAGCTTTAATTTTGAGAGAATTCCCTTACCAGAAACTATATATTACTAGTGTCCACAGTGCCTACTAGGAATCACAGTGCATGTCAATCCCCTTAACCATTGTCGTTTAGCCAATTACAAGATTTTAAAAAATGAACATTTGAGATTCCTTTTCTATTTCTATGTCTCTTTGATGTCAACATTTGAACAAAATGTGTTTTCTAGCTATATCTTAAAAATTTACTAATTGCTTAATTTGCTCTGTTTGCAATGACTGTCTCCTTAACAGCATTTTTTTACTTTTAGGGAAAATAGGAACTGTTGGCATAAGCACTTTCTGACCACAAGAAAGAAGGCTGGAAATCTTGTTAACACTGACATCTGAGATGGGAGGGTGAGGATTCACATTCAAGGGTGGCAGAAACCCTGGTCTGGTCTGGGTGGTGCTGTGATCCAAAGGGAAAGCTCCTGAGCCACGCCTTTCTAAAACTGCATGGTTTCTCCTGCTCAGGGGGCCTGGGGGGATATTCTCCACCAATTCTTTGGAACCTGATAACAGGGATGGAGACGGTGAGAGGATCTTTTTCTTTGCTGTAAGACCTTTGCCATCTTCTGAAGTTGTAGGGATCAGACCAGCCGAGAGCTGGGAGTCAGAGCTGTAGTGATTGGCCCCCGAGTTTCTTTTCTGAACTATACTTTTTAAGGTGGAAGCAAATATTGTCTGGTTAGAGTCTGGGTCCTGGTCAATGGGGATTTCAACACAGTGCTGACTTCCTTCTGAAGAAAATGACTGATAATTTATTTCTTCATATGATGTCTTCCTTGAGCTGGCCTGATCAAAGGCTCTTAGCAAATGTGCTGTGTCTTTTATGTCAATACTTTGATGCCTGGTAATGAATCGCTTGGAAAGTGCCAGCCCATTGGTTTTGTAGGATAATTCTTCCTCGGGAGTAATATCCTGGAGCTCCTCTTGCAAAGAGGCTACTCTCTTCTGGTGCATTAACAAAGGTGGGGGTTTGACCCAGGGTGGAGCCTGGGGTGGCTTGGGCCCATTAAGGGCCACAGCAGGCTTCCTTCCGGGGGAGCCTGGGTCCCAGGTATCATCACGGCTTCCTGAAGGCTCCAGATCTTTAAAGCCAAAAAGTGTCGTTTCAGTTTCAGAAGAATATGAAAGTGGCGATGAGGCTGTTTTTATATCTATTTCTGAAGGAGTGGCACAGGTAGATGGGGAATGATACCCATCTATATCAGAAGGAGGCATATTTAAGTACTGTTGGGTGGTATGCCTGCCAGAGGGCGATTTTGCTGTTGTTATGATAATGACCTCTTTTCCCTTTGCCTTGCAAGCACTGAGTAGAACTTTCAGGGTTTCCCTATCTTCCGAATTGAGAGCATAGACAAGGGCTGAGTAACTCGAATGGTCTTGCAGGCTGAGGTCGGCCCCACTCTCCAGGAGCAAAGAAACAACTTCAGGACCAGCTTTTTCTAAGCAAGCATGCATCAAGGCAGTTTTCCCAGATTTGTCCTGTATGTTGGGATCAGCATTGTTTTCTAACAGGTATTTAACCATTTTGGCTTTACTGACGCTCTGATGATCAACATGTTTAGTCTTACAAGCAATCATTAAAGGTGTTTCCCCACGGTCATTGCTCTCGTTGATGTAGGCGCCACCTTCTAGCAAAAGTCTTGTGAGGCGAAGCCGGCTCTGGTGGACTGCTTTGATCAGGGAATTCCCATCACTTGAAATTTCTGCACCTTCCTCCATCTTCAGAAGTCAGAAATCAATACCTGTTTATCAAAGAAGATGAAGACCAAAAGATTAGCCAGAATCAATAACCCGATTTACATTCATGCTGTTACTGGCAGTGTCTGAAATGTGTATAGAGAAAGAGGAAATAAATGAGACAGTTATTAATAAATACAGGGCAAAATAGTGAATTGAAGAATAAAAAATTTTAGAGTAGTAACAAGTTTTTGGAAATCATAAACTAAAATTTACTTTCAGAATCTTCACTGAATATTTATGCTTTAACACCAAGCTTGTACTTCCCTAAATGCCACAGTAATTAAACAGTAATCTACTTATTTTACAGTTGTGAAAAATGTTTTTAAAATAATACTAAAATGCAAATTGAAGCAAAAAGCCAAGATTCTGTGTCATTTCAACTGAGTCAAATAGAGTACAGCATGTTTATGGTAGCATACCATAAAAATGTCCTAGTTTTAAATTACTACTTAAACGTGCTCTTTAGTTAAATAATGCAACTATTTCTAGATTTTAAATTTGAGGGGCATTTCAATATTTTTAATTGATTTTTTAATTATTGTTTATTCTATTACAGTTGTCCCAATTTCTTTCAATGTTTCTTTCAAAGGATGAAAAATTACTTGGGCTACGAGATGTTGAAATAACTGACACAATGTCTGGAATTCACACTGAGAGAGAAACGGCGAGAATGTGACTCACTGTTTTTCTTGAATCCATTATTAAAATCAGACACTGACTATATTATGGGGTTAGCGACACACTGCTGAGTTAAATTTTGACAGCAGTACATTTGCTCTGAAAAAGGAGTTTTCTGGGCTGGACACATGAATGAAGACAGACTTTATAAACATTTTACTTTTTTAATAGGCAAACTGAAAAACATTTGTTTATTTAGATAATTTAGGTTCAAACCCCTTCAACAGATAATTCTATTAGTTGATAAAAATTATATCTTTATCTAGAGCTGAGGAAATGTGTGTCATTTAACAGTCCTTAGAACTAGGGAGAAAAATCAAATGGAATTTATATAATATTTAAATCTATTTCATTTAGGTAGTTTCTTAAATTGAGAAGTATTATTATTCTACTAACTTATACTTTTAAAATTGAGAATACGGGACATGAAATTCTACTGGATAACAGAACAGATAAAAAATACAAGGGCCTCTTGACAGACAGAAGAAGAGATGAAGAGAACAGAAAGAAAATGAAGACAAAGGAGAAAGACAGACATGACACAGAAATTAATTCACTTGTTAAACAGCTACGCATTTCTCATACACGCTGGGCACTGCGCTACAGAAGTGCAAGCCCAGCCCTGAAGACCTTACACAGTTGTTGGGAAGAGATCTTGTAAAAGCAGATGGTTATGAGTCAAAGCTGTGAGAACACACAGGCTGGGGTGGCTTGGGGAATCGAGGGACTGCACAGAGCCCAGTTATCTGAGATGGGTCATGAGGACTGTGTTAAGAGTTTGACAAGCAGACAAAGAAGTAAAAAAGAAGTAAAGAATACTCCTTGTTAAAAAAAAAAAAAACCCTAGAGGCTTAAAGTAGCACAGTTATTTATCATAAATCAGGCTCTATTTACCTTCATATAATTGAACTTTAGGAAAATATTTTAGCAGGTGGTTATAGTTAGGGTAAATATGGCAGAACACACACGTGTCTAATTTTGCCCCTTCATGAAACTCCCTAAAACTAAAGAATTTTTTAAAAAGACACAGGGATAGCAGGGAGAGGAAAGAAGAAGGAGGAGAGAAGACCACAACATTATGGAAGCCAGAAGCAGAGGGGCCAGTGGTAACTGACTCAGCCAACCCGAAAAGCTGCGCTTCAAGTCATCGGTGGTAGAGCTGTGAACTAGTAGGCCCCTGCACACTGCAGAATCCTTGAAAGAGGCAGTGCAGAAAGCTCTAGAACTGGGGTGGGAGGGTGGAGAGCACAGCTACAATAAGAAGGACTAGGTGAAAAGCTATTGAAACAGCAGTGAGATCCCTACGCCCTTGCTACCCCAAGAGTGATCCCATCCTGGACCAGCACCAGCAGCATCCCCTGAAGCTTGTTAGATGCTCAGCATCTCAGGCTCCACCCCACATCTGTTGGATCAGAGCCTACAGTATCCTGAGACCATTAAAATTTAAGAAGTACTGTCTCAAGTTGTTCCTCCACTCCAAACCACTGGGAGGTAAGGAGACTGCCCCTCCTACCTGAGGAGACGTCCAGAGGTTTATTTTCATCAGAAGTGGTGAAACAGAGGCTCTGCGGACTGGCAGACACCGGCTGTGTTGGAGGGCAAGAAAACAGGGAAGTAAGTCTGCTTTCTCACAACTGAATGAAGGGACTTCTATCCCAACATGGCTCCAAGAAAACTGGCAGCCATACACTTATCCTTCAGGCAAAAATTGCTATAGTCTCATCTCAAGAATCCGACCTGATGAAGAGCAGATGCTTAAGAGCACCGACTATGGGTTCTTCCCAACATGCCACCCGAGTCATCCTACAGTGAAGCTTCCAGGTGACAAGTCTCACCGATGGGCTTGAGACTTCTTATTGGCTTTTAATGCAAGCCTTTTAATCGTGAGCAAGTCAAAACAAAAAACAAACCAAAAAGCCTCTTACGTTAAAAACACAGAACACACAGAACAAATAGAAAGAAAAAGCAACCTCGGGGAGATAGATATTAGGAAAACGAAAATTGCCAAAGCTCATTATCTTCAAAGGGAGAAGATGTTGCAACCAAGAAAGAAGAATAAGATTCTATGAAACAAAAAAGACTATTCAGAGACTATAAAAAGAACTTCAAAAGATAAAAACATGATACAAACTATAAGACTAAATAGAATGGTTGGATGATAACATTGATAAAATCTCCAGCACAGTTCAGCAAAAGGAACAGAAGGGGAAAAAACAAGAGAATTAGAGGACTAGATCAGGACATCCAACATCCAACTAACAGAAGTCCCAGCAAGAGGAAATAGTGGGTGTGGGGAGGGCAGGAGAGCAGGAGAGGAAATGGTCAATGAGGTCAGGAAAATTTTCTAGGTTTGAGGGGCATGAGTCACCAAATTGAAAGGACCCAATTAGAACATAGCATACCGAATGGAAACAGACCCTGAGCATGACACATGGTTATACATTTCTAGAACAGCGAAAACAGAAAAGATTCCAGAAACTTGTGGGTGGGAGATGGGGAGTGATGAAAGACAATGGAGGACTGTTTTTTAAAATCTGAAGGAAAAATGATTCCCAGCTTAGAATTCTGTATCTACCCAAACCGTCAGGAATTAGAATCTACTGATGGAAGTAATCTACCAAGGTGAAATAGTAGAACAAGAAAGAAGAAATGAGATACCAGAGGCTAGAGATTGTTAGAGAGGAGAGACACTGAAAATCCCCGGGAAGCTGGTGAGAGTAGCTGTCAGGGTGACGGATACGCAGACGTCACCTCCAAGAGCACACTGCCACGTTACCATCTTGTTAATTGAGGACCACATGCCCAGGTGAGCCTGCCCTCAGCTCTTTCAGTTATTTGCTTTGTCCCAACCACATCTCTGCTCTCTCTTCGATGCCCTGCTTTCTGGGGCAACCCAAGGAACTCATCTCAGCCCTGCTCAATGGTTCTGCTTTTACCCGCTCTGAAACCTGGGGATAAGCCATGGTGAGTTTCGGAGGAGAAAGAGTAAACACCCATTCCCTTTGGATACCCAGCACTACACTAGAGCTCTGCCAGCAGCCCTGCAAGGGCGAGTCCCAGGTTTCCCAAGACTCGCTTTTGACCTTGCCCAGAATGGGCTGTTGTAAACCCTCAGGTATGCTGAGGTGAACTAAGATCCAGGGACTCTTCACCTTATCTTTTCCTGAGCTTTCATCATATACAGGGTGGAGCAGAAGTAGGTTTATAGTTGTTTGCATGGAAAATAATACAATGACGGATAATTAATAACACAAGAACAAACTGTGTTTTGCGTACTCACTGCTGTAAACCTACTTTTGCCCCACCCTGAATTAGCAACATTGACCTTCCTTTATTCATTCAATTTTGTGCTCACTACTCAGTTTTTCAAAAATAAACAATTTATTTACCTAAAAGTCATACATAAATGGGACACTAAAGAGGAAAAAAGCAAAGGGAATGATTAGTATGAAAATTATGAGAATGTCATCTCTTGGGGGCAGGTGTTGTAGAAAGAACAACACAATTTGGGAGGGAGACACCAGGGGCTTTTAAGGTTCAGGAAATGTTCTGTTTCTCAACTGTGTGGCATGGATATAGGTGTCCATTTTATTATAATTTTTTAAACAGTACATATTTCATATACTCTTTTGTATGATACTGCTCATCTATTTATTGTAAAGTGGAACATGTATACAGAAAAGAGCATAGCGTTTCTGTAGGATATGTTTCATAATTTAGTTTTATAAATGGTCATATTAGATCTTCGATTTTACAACTTAGCTCAGTTTTTGTGGTTTTATCAATAGTATGTATGCCTAGGCTTTCGAGGAGCTTCAGCTACTAAGCTCCTGAAAAGCGGTATTCAAAAGAATATCGTTACTCATTTCCATGTCAGTGTCATTCCTGATGCTAAGTAAAAATACCTCATATACACATACATAAATACGATGAAAGTGAATGCTGTGATTTTATGTTATGTAAAAGCTATTCCAGAGGCTGACATACCTGCAACTCTGGAACTTAGGAATTTTAGGGTTGGTTGGTGGATCCCAACTCAGAAGTCTGTTCTGAATGCAAAGCATCTGAAAAGAGCTTACGTGAGACAGTGGTTCAAAAGAAACCTTCTTTTAGCATTTTTCATACACAAATGTGTCTGGTAAAGCAACGGGGAATTAGAGAAATGAGCTGGAACACAACATCAAGTATAGAAACCACTTAGTAACTGCAGTTCATCAAGAGGACAGTATCAATGTAAAAACACCTTTGACCAAAAGTAGCATTTTAGAAACATATTCAAATGAGAGTAGGTTCTGAAATACCACATTTCAATATTGTACTCTCACTTAGTTTTTAATATTTGGGCCAATCTTGTTTAAAAAAATTTTTTTTGCTTACATCACATTCTAGTCTATAATTCTTCTCCCCTCACCCCCCGCCCCACCATCCCTTCCTTTCATAAAGTCTTACAAGAAACTTTAGGAGACTTTCAAACCTTTTCACCTATTCTCATTAAAAGCCTTTCTCTACAACTCTAAACCTGACTACTTTCTGTTGTAACTTTCCTCAAGTTTGGCAACAGGAGGTTCTGGGTGATGAAGGGGGGCTGGCCATGTGCTGCCCGCTGGGGTCCCTGCCTGAGGGGAGCAGCACCATGCCAGTCCTGTGGATGGGGGTGCTGTGGGCCCCGGGGCCTCAGAGAAGCTGAGCCGTGGCACCACTAGCTCCAGGCAACTAGTGAATCGCTGCCAGCGGCTGTAGGCAGACCCCCTGCCCCAAGAACTGGAGGATGCTCCAGCAAAAACAATTCCTTCAGGCTTACTCTTTGTTCATTATAAAGCCCCATGGACTGCTCACTTTTTAAGCTGTTCACATTCAGTAGAGCAATTCTAAATTCTTTTGTCTTTAATTTTTTTAATTGAATTTATTGATGTGACATTGGTTAATAAAATTATATAGGGTTCAAGTGTGCACTTCTGCATTATCTGTATATTGTACTGTGTGTTCACTGCCCCAAGTCAAGATTCCTTCCATCACCATTTATCTCCCTTTTTCCCTCCTCTGCCTCCCCGCACCCACCTTTCCCTCTGGTAATCACCATACTGTTGTCTTATGAGGTCTATTTTTTTGTTCTGTTTTTGCTTAATCCCTTCATTGAAATTCTTTAAACATTAAATTTTTTAGAGAAAAACGTTATCAGATACTTCATTCTCCACATGTGTACACGGTTGGTTTCCTAGTGTCTCGTCTGTAATCAGTACATTTTTGGAATAACCCCCTTGACTCATTTTTGCCTTCATCCTCTTTCACTTGGTTCTTTTGCCTCAGCCATTTGCACAGCAAAAACGCTGGCAATGAAGTTTGACCTGTTTATTCTGCCTCAAGGTAAGTCCTACCTGTGATGAGACCACTTCTCTCACCTACAACTATCTTAGTCTGGAAACATCTTTGCCTCCTGTCTCCTCCTGTGAAACCCTCGTGGGGCATCCAGCACTGACACCGTCTTCCCAGTCAGTCAGACCCTTTGTTGTAATTGAGCTTATAAATGATCCCAGAGTTGAGTCACAACTTCCAAATAGATTACAGTTCAACTGGAGAAAGTCTGGGGGTCAGACAGATCCAGATTTTTATCCCAACCTTCCTACTTACTAGCTGAATGCCCTTATCAAGTCTCTCAGCCTCTGAAGAATTCCTCATCTGTGGAAGGATGATCACGTGACATTCATGCCCTGGTCAGTGGTAATGAAATCAGACAAGTCTACAAAAAGTCTTTCTTCTGCCTTCTTGCTCACTACACTCTCCTTTTTAAAAATTTTATCTCAGAATTTAGCCTTCTTTCATTTTTATCACGTCCCTAATCCAAAGCCTATTTAAGTAACAGATAAAATATTTTAAATGTTTTTTATGATCTGCAAATGATGTTTTGTAAACATGAATGGTGCCTACTAAGTGAAATATGGAACAAAGATATCCTTTAGGTACAACTGCAGTAATTTCAATATTATCCTTATAAATTATCCTTATAATTTCCAACTGCAGTAATTTCAATATTATTATAAGATATCCATTATTAAGCAGCTGAAAATTTGTTTTTTATTTTAAAATTTGAATGTCTATAATGTCATTTGCAATTCATGACGTATTACTGTACTCATTTGGTTCCTCTCTCTACTCCCAAGATGCCGCTAAAATTACAATTTAGTTGCTTAAAAAATGAATAAGACATATATTCTGAAGAACAAAGAAAACTGGAGGAGAGATAGCAGAGGAGCAATTTCAAACAAGCTTTGGAGACAGAGCAGGGATGGTGGCGTGGCAAGCTGTCTTCACACAGTGGGGGCTGCAACAGGAGTCACCAGGGAGATGAGCAGGGTGCCAGCTTACCCACAGGGCCCATGAACTTTAGGATGAAGAGGTCCTCAGTGACACCACAAGTGGCCATGAGGCACAGGGCAGCAAGTGAGAGGATGGCTCAAAGTCTGTGGACAGAACAACTATACCCTCGGTACTTTACCCGACTCCAAGTGGTGGATAGCCACTCTTTTAGGCAAGAAAACAAAGATGTATTCTCTGAACAGATCGATCCAAAACGCTCCAAACCTAGAGGCAGCATGCTGAGGACAGGGGCATACAGTGAGAGTCTACAGGCTGAATGGTGCCCCCAGTCCCTCCAGCTCTCTGCCCTGCTGCCAGGATGCTGGAAGCCAGGGAAAAGCACTGGATCTTAGAATTATAAGCCCTATTAAAAATATCTGTAGATAAATGAAGCAATTCAAACCATAACTATATTCACCCCTCCAGACACCCACTCTAAATGGAAATAGAAAGTTACCTGAAAATATTACTCAAAATTTCATACTCCACTTATGTCTTTTCTCTCCCTGGATATGTTTTCTGTCAGCCAGCTGTCAGTTCCTATGCAGGAAATCAACACTATTCAGAGTTACATAAATACCAATAATTTGTTGCACACATCTCTCCCATTTGGAGTGGAGTTTTTTTCATTTCTTGTTAAGACATTTCCTACAATGTTTGTTCAGTTAATCATATTTCGCTGATTACGAGTCTGTAAAAGTGTCTGGTGTGGATCCCATGCGTGGATGCAGCCTGTAAGCACTGCTGGCATTGGAAGGCACTCTGCCCACAGACCAGGCCCCCAGTCTAGACAGATGAGGGGGCTGCTAAAGGAAAGGTGAAAGAACTCTCCCAAAGTCCCTCCTCTTATTTGCCTGTTCCCCAGGGCTTATTTAGAAGCTCCTGTGTCTTTTACCTTTCATCTCCTTGCTTCTTGGATGGCCAGCTTCCAGCACCGAGGGTTTTGTTGTATGTACCTGATTCGTGTGGTACCTAACTCTGTGGTGCAACATGGGCTGAAGTGCTTTGAAAGCCACCTTGGAAATGACAGGTTTGGCCTTTCCTATGGTGATTTCTCCCCATGCCACCTCCAGTTTTCCTTTCATTCTGAGAGAAATGTAATTTTCCTGTGAGCCTCTTACTGTACCTCCTAAAAGGATCCCTGCTCCTTCTCAGAATGTCAGCTGTCTGGCCATGGTGGAGGAGGGCATCAAGGGGGTGGAAATTAACAAATGGGTTTTAGGCTCTAAATTCAGCCCCTCCTGTTTATCTCATTCCCTGCTTTTGTGCTGCCCACAAAAGGACAAGCCTTGCTCAGAGGAGGCGGCAGGCTGTGTGTGTACCAGAGATCTGGACTTTGTCCTCTTCCAAGGTTACCAACCTTTGTGTAGCCATTCCTCTGAACTTCAGTGTCCTCATCCCTAAAGTGGGGCTAAAATCTACTTCACAGTTGACGATTGGGAGGGTGTAAAAAAAATCCTAAAATACTTGCCTCTTAAGGATTCAGTAAATGTCAATTTCTAAACAATCATCACTAATTGAGAATCTTCTGGGCTGGTGGAGTCTGACAAGGAGAGGCCAGGGTCCCTATACCAACGGGCTCTCACCTTCTGTGGACATAAACTTCATATGAAGAGTTTGTTAAAAATAAGATTCCAGGCTCTACGTCCCGATATTCAATACAAAGTGCTTCCTATGCACACTTGGAGAAAACCTGTGGCAAACTCTTCAATCCTCATTTAATACTCACTTCTTATTTGCTATCATCCCCTGGCTCAGGATGGCCCCAGGCTGTCTCTCTCATCATCTCCAGGTGGTCTGATGCTTAACTCCCCTGCAGGAGGAGTGTAGGGCAGAGATGGCTGCCACAGCCTAGAGAGGCGGAGAGGTAGCCCACAGGCCCAGAGGAGAGTACAGCCTTGAGTTAGATGGACCAGGGACTGGAGGTGTGCTGCCTTGCCCTTCCCAGGCAGAGCTGCAAAAAGCCTGGAGTCCCAGGATGCAGAGGCCAGCTGCACTTGGAATGAGGCAAGTCTGCCTGCCACCCGCAAAATATGTCTCCTCCCCAGGCAAGGCAAGCGTCAGTGCCAGAACAAAAAATGCATCGGAGACTGTCCCAGGAAATGTAGTGACTTGCCAGGAAAAGTGCTCTTCCCTGGAACGGGCTCGTTAAGAAATACTTAGAAATTGCTCAAGGGAAGGAGTAACGGATAAGGTTTGCCGTATTTCCCACACATACCCGAAATGGACTGGTGTCTTCTAGTAACTTCGCTGTCCCTGAAGCCTCTGGGGCAGCTCCACCTCCCCTCCTTCATAGACCCCCATCCCAAAACATACACATACACGCAAAACTATACCTCCAACTCTCAGGGAACCAAGGCGATGTCCAAGCTGTTGAGGGTTTTCGCGGCGTCTCCACAGTCCCCGCTGGCTCCGGGAACCAAGCTCGTTTCCTCAGTTTTTCCGGAGCGCGGAGGGAGCGAGCCCGAGGTGCTGTTGGAGAAGGGCAAAGGAAGGTGACTGGGGTGACAGCGCCGGGGCACGGATGGGGGCGGGGTGCGCGTTTTGTCGCCTCGTCTCTGAGCTAAGCAGGCAGGCTGAGGCCATCGCCATCCACAAAAAGGGGTTCAGCCCAGAGCCTCTGCAGTTTGGTCCCCACGGCGCCCTCCGGGAGGACGCGGCCCTCCCTTAGGAAATAGCACGCTCGAGGGGAGCAGCCATTGCCCCCATCCCGTGATAGGCGCATCTATGGACCCCAGCTGTCTGATGAGTTCCAGGGTTTTGGTGCCAAAGCTGTGCGCTCCTGAGAGGCGACGAGTCCCACCTACCCGCCCCTGTGGGGCTCCCATTTCGAGTCAGAGGCTGCAAACCGCTCCGTAGCCCCTAGCTGGCCCTTCGCACTCAGCCTACACCCCCCACCGCCCCGCCGCCCGAGGCACCTGGGGAGACGCGCCCCAGTCCGACCCTCGGACCCGCGCGCTCCTGCAGAGGAGCGCGCAACGCTCCAGCCGTGGCGCCGACCCTCGCCCGCAAGGCCCCTGCCCGCCTCCTCCCAGACTTCCCGCGGCCACGGGCGGCCTCATCCATTCCTCTGCGCGGCGAGGTGGAGGAGGTGAAACCCGCATCTCGGTGGAGTCCAAGCCGGAGCCGCCGCAAAGCCCAGGATGGCGGGGCTGAGTCTCTGGACAGGCCCCTGAAGCTCGCGGGTCCTCGATTGGAGCCGACTCCCGCTCGCCGCTCGAGGCACTGCAGTGTCAGGGTGCGCGGGTGGTGCGGGCTCCCAGGGCCTGAACGCACCCGGCGCCGTGCACAGAGGCCGCGGGGACCCGGAGCTGCGCCCTGGTTGCCCTCTTCTTGGCGGCCCGTACAGTAAAGCAAAGTTTCCCCAAGTGCAGCCTGCAGAGACAGCGCCGCACACTGACCTGGGACGCGCTGTCGAGACTGTGGCGGCGCCTCCTGCCTCCCAGGCTCCGCTAGGACCCTCCGCGCCAGTGACCCCAAGGCTCCGTCCCGGCTGGATTGTAGTCTCTGGAGGCTCTTCGGCGGCTCGAGTCGCAGATTCTGGTAGGTGCCACCGTGTCCCCGCCCCCGTTCGTCTGAGAGAGGCTGGCGGCGGGCTCGGAGCCGCGAAGCGTCGGAGCGGGGGCCGGGAGGCGCGCACCTCGCCAGACACCCGGCGGCGCGGCGCTTCCGTTGAGAGTGACGCGCGGGCTGCGCTGCAGGTGGGGGCCGCGTGGCCAAAGCTGGCTTGGGCCACTAGGGCCAAAGTCTAGGCTCCCAAGCTCCACCTCTGTCCCCAGAAGTACCCCTCTCCTCACCCAAGCCTGTCCCCGCACTTTGGCCTGTGGGATTTTGTCCGAAGCGGAGACTGCACGGTCTTTCCCCCTCCAAGGAGATGGCCACCCCTACATCCTAGCCCCTGATTCCTGGTGTTCTTCTGTGCGTCCCTCCTCCCAGTTCATATCCACCGGGCTGATCCACGTGTCTGTCCCCACCGCTCCCTCTTCCCACTTCCTGTCCTTGTACCCCTTTAGGTAAAGCCAAAAGCCTCGTTGCAGGTTGGGGTGTTGGTGGGAGCAAACGTTCTTGTTTTTATGAGTTTATTATAACTTTATTAAAGCATTAGTATAATACTTTCACAAAATTGCACAAAGTACATTCTATGTTAAACTTCACCGAGGGAAAAAAGAGAAGAAATCAAGTAGAAACAACACTTTTAAAATCCCATTTATCAGGGATAGGCTGGTGGATAAAAAAAAGATCATGGCCAGTTTTTGTTGTTCAGAAAATGCCAGTCAAAATTAGTTTGTAATTTGGAGTCCTCGAAGGGGGAAAGCAGCCTTGTCTCTGAGTAGGCTTCCTTTATTTAGGAAAATAGCTCCCTGAAATAGGCCCTTCGGTGAGTATACGTAAAGTTCATAGGACATTTTAACCCAGAGTTGGGCTCTTGGGAACTGGAATCCTGGATGTGTGCCCTGTGCCCACACACGTTTACTGGGGAGACTGGAGGTTCCGGAGGAGGGACTGGGCAGACCTGCCTGAGGGTACAGGTGTCCTTTCCCCCATTAAAACAAACAAAAAGAATTCTATTAATGTATAGCACATATTAAAAGATGCACACTTCACAAGGTCAATGATTTTGTGCAACTGAAACATCATTAAAATCAAGAGACGGAATGCTACCAGCTTCCCAGAAGACTCCCTCATATCCCTCCTTTGGGGGTTAGGGGGCAGAGTAGTGGCTCTAACCAGCCTATATTACTTTTACTTGAATTTGCACTTTATAGCAGTTGGATCATACAGAATTCCTCTGTTGCCTGGCTTTCACTAGACATGTTTAAGAGCTGCATACTGTCTGTGATCACAGTCGGTTCATTCTTGTTGCTGCACAGTACTCCACTGTGTGAATGTACCTCAGTTTATTCATTTTATTACTGATTGACGTTTACTAATCCTCAGGTTTGGGACATTACAAATAATGCTGTTTAGGGGCATTATAGTAGACATCTTTGATGAACATATGTACACACCTCAGTTGGGTAGTTGAACTGTGAGTCATGAAATAGGTGTATGTCCAGCTGCTGTAGATATTGCCACTTTTTCAAAGCGGATGATCTAATTGTCATTCCTATTTTATTAGTGTTCTATTGCTGATTGTACAAATTACCACAAACTCAGTGGCTTAAAACAACATAAGTTTGTTTTCATAATTCTGAAGGTCAGATGTCCACGTTGGGTTTTACGAGACTAAAATGTAAGTGTTGACAAGGCTGAGTGGCTTCTCGGGTCTCTTGGGGCTAATCCATTCCCTGGCCCTTTCCACTTCCCACAGGCTGCCTAAATTTTTGGACTCATGGCCTCTTACTCTGTCTTCAAATCTCAATTTCTCTCTCAACTGTGCTTCTGTTGTCGCATGTCTTTCTCTCCCTCTGACCCTCCTGTGTCACTCTTCCAGCAACCATTGTGATTATACTGCTCCCACTCAGATAATCCAGAATAATCTCCCATTTCAAGATTCTTAGTTTAATCACGCTTGCAAAGTTTCTTTTACTACGTAAGATAACATATTCATATGTCAGGAATTAGGTCATAAACCTCTTTGCAAGGTAGGGGAGGATGCCTATTTAGCCTACTATACCTGTTAGCAGGGTATTGGAACACGTTGGGTGGTTGGAGACAGGCGGGACTGAAAAAAAAAAGACAATGAAGCTCTGAGATCCAATTCACCTGGAGAATGGGGGCTGGTAGGCAGGAGAGGGAGACTAGTGCCTCTGCTAATCATCTCTGGCCACCACCATCCCTGCACCACGATGCATCTGGGGCCAGGGGCTTCCATTTAGAGGACAAAGTGAGGAAGGGGGCCTGGGGGTCAGAGTTGTGGGGTTGGGGGTTGCACTCTGCTACTGGTATATGGCCACACCACAGCGCTCTCTCCTTGTTGCCTTGACTGTCCATGTCCTTGATCTTCTCATCAATACGGGAAAACATTTAGTTTCAGCTCTTGAGATGCAAAATACATTTTTCAAGGCCTTTCTTATTTAAAAAAAGATTTAAATACACTGACTTATCTTTTGGAGGAGAGGTTCTCATTAGGAATGGAAAAGCTGTCAGAAGACATTGAACACTAAGCTTCTTGTCACACTGAGCAAAACAGGTGATTTGCTTCTTATATTCATAGTTTTCTTCTGTCTGGTTCCTTTCTACTCATTCTCATGTCTCCTCCTTTCTCCATGTTGTCCTGGTAAGGGGAAGCCCCCCGGCTGAGCCTGCCCCCAACATTTTCCAAACCTTCACTTCTTAGTGGGAGTGGGTTGCTCTTTCCAAGCAGCCGGCAGTTTTCTGATTCATCTTTGAGAGAAGCTTGTTTTCTTGTTCTGGGAAGAAAAAATATTCTCATGTGCTAGAAAGATTGGAAGTGAGGGCAAACACCTCCATTTAAGAGTATATGCTTAAAATCCATGAGTTTTAAAATCCATGGACGTGCCCAGTCTTTCCCACATCCCCACTGTCCACAGATAGGTACACCCTTCCTGATGGGAGGAATGAAAAGTTGAAAAGTTGCCATAAAAAGAAGAGCTTCAAAATAGCCTTTGAACATTACCAGATAACAATGGAATATGTTTTATGCCCAACGCTTGGTCCTTAGACTAAGACATCTGTTTCCTGAGGTGGGAGCTGGGCCTCTGTCTGCTCTGTGTTTGAGCAGGTGAACATGTCTTGTGGCTTTTTGGGTTCGAAGACTGAGTCCTCCAGAGTCGAGAGGCCCGTTTTGTTAGTCCCTCTACACACTGGATTCCCATGCGTTGTAAAAAGGCTGAGGTGTTCCAAAATTTAGAAAATGCCTATGATTCTTTTTTAGGACTTTTAAAAAAATTTATTTTTATTTTTTATTTGGGTAAATGGCTTAGCAAATATAACTCCAGGGGCCAGCAATGAAATGGGGTTACCCAGTTTCAGGAGTGCTTCCTCAGGACCTAAGTGGGTCCATTCAAAATCCTCTTCTGGAATCCGGAAATCTAAGACCATGAGATCTAGATAGCTGTGCATTTTGACAAGAAAGGGTGACTTCAGTGGGGATAGAGTTGGCGTTGGGGCCTGATGCAGAGAGAGTGAACATTAGACTCTGAGAAGAGGACCCAGGGCCTCATGAAGGAGAGGCCAGCAGGGGTGCCCCAAAGAGGGATGACTGACATGTGAACTCTGGGTGAGTCAGGACCAGGATCTAGATTTAAATATCAGTGATGGTGGCTTTGGGCCCAACTCTAGTGCATTAACCAAATGGGAATATATATGTATACGTATTTCAACCCCCCGCCACCACATACTAAAAGTCTAGGGTGGGTACAGCTGGGCTTTTCTGTCTTCCTGTTCAAACGTCTTCAGCTTTCATCTCATGATCACAGAATGTGTCAAAGGGCAAACGATATGTGCCATTGGTATCCTTTCCTTTTTTTTCAGTAAAACAATAGTCTTCCTTGGTACCTGACCCACTAGTTTCCACTTATATTCACTGGCCTAAACAGGGTCACATGGCTACCTCTACCTGTAAGGGAAACAAGAATGTTTTTACTGAGTTCACTGAAATTAAAATATAATCAGAGTTCTGTGGATAAAAAGGGGAGCTTACCGTAGGTTTCTTTCTGTGACCCTGGACAGACTGGGCACTGGACTACCATTGCTTTCCTCAGAGGGTTATTATGAAGATTGAGTGAGTTAATTTATGTGAAGCACACAGAACACAGCACTATAAAAGTGCTGTTAAATACATTAATAAAGGAGAGCGTAGTCACTGGGTGGGCAGTTAGCAGGTCCTATTATTAAGCATGGCTATCCTGTGTAGTAATTCTCTTCTGCAGTAACAGTCTGTTGAACATTACATCCTGATATTAGCTGTACTCAGGGCATTAATGGAAAGGCTGCTGCCCTCACTTGGCAAGGGCACTTGACTACTACCTGGAAAAGCATTATAAGGTGATCTGTAGAGAGTGAGTTGGGGGGAACTAAGCTCCTTAACATGATGAGGCCCAACCACAAGAGTGGCAGAAGAGCTGTAGCTGGGACATAGCAACGTTTCCTGGCTTCCCTTGCAGCTAATGTGACTTCTTCACAATGCTTTTGCCAACAGAGAGTCAGAGAAGTGAAGTGTGCATAAGGGAAAACCTCTGGCCTTTTTCCTTTTGCTCCTTCCCCATCCCATGGCAGGAATGAGAATGACTGGAGCTCCTTTGTGAAGATGGTACTGCTCCCAGGAAGCCTGGGTCCCTGAATGACTGCATGGTGCAGAGCCACCCATGGACCTGGGACTCTACTGTGGACTGTTTTATGAGAAAGAAAGACATTTCTACTTTGTTTGAGCCATTGCATCATGGGCCACAAGTCATTCCAGCCTTTTACCTCAACTAATATAATTACTTTCATAATCAGATAATTTTAAAATAGTATCTTTTCAAATTAAAACACATTTGCTCATAGTATGCATAAAATATTTTTGGAAAGATATTTAGGAAATTATAATAACATAGCTGTAGAGTGGTGGGAGGGTATTTTCTTTTGTTTTTACTTAATATCTGTTTATAATGGTTGAAATTTTGAGCTATGTATGTATACTTATTTGAAAATTTAAAACAG